TGCTAGATTGTGATCTGTTTTGGAGGAGGTTTCATGGATTGCTGAGAATAATGTGCACTGTGGAGTTACTGGATGAAATATGCTGTAGATGTCCATTAAATGCACTTGGGTTATGATGTCACTTAATTTTGAGTTTTCTTTACTAATATTTTGTTGGGTTGACCTGTCTTTTGGTGAGAGCGGGGTGTTGAAGTCTCCTACAGTAATTGTGTTGAGCTGTGTCACTGCTTGTAAATTCAGAAGTATATGCTTAATGTTTTTTTGGTTTTTTACATTTAAAATTTAAAAATTTTACAATCTTAAAAAAAAATTTATTGTTGTTATAAAGGTGATGTGCAGAAAGGTTACAGTTACATAATCAGGTAGAGTACTTTTGTTTCTGGACAATGTCACCCTTCCTTTGCTCTCTCCCAGGTCTCCATGCTTAATGAATTTCAGCATGTTGCTGTTACGTTCGTATATGCTGACCGGTCAGCTATAATGTCTTCTTCATTGATATCTCCCTTTATCAGTACTAAGTGACCTTTTTTTTTCTCTTCTTAATGATTTTTATCCTAAGTCAGTCTTATCAGATACAAGTAGGACTACTGGCCACTTGCAGTATGAGTTTGTTTTTAAGTTCTCTTTGTATCCCTTCATTCTGAATTTGTATTAATCTTTTGACAGTGAAATGTGTTTCTTGGAGAGAAAAAATGACTAGGTCTTGCTTTTTGAACCAGACTACTGCTCTGTGGCTTCTGATTGGAATTGAGCCCATTGATGTGCATTGTTACTATTGAGAAATAGGCGGTTTCCTGTTACTTTGTTTTTTGTGATGCTTGTTTCTTTTCTCCTCTTGTTATAGTAATTTACTGACCTAGTAGAGTTTATTAATTTCTGTATTTCTTTGCTTTTCATTGCCTTCTTCTGAGGCTAGGATTCCCTTAAATATCTTTTGTTGTGCTAGTGTAATGGTCATAAATTCCTTTAGTTTTTGTTTGTCATAGAAGGTTTTTTGTCCAAGGTTTGTAGTTTTGATATGAGGAGGCTTTAAGTGTTCTATTTCTAGAAGCTTGGTGAAACAAGAATATTTGGAAAAAAAATCTAAAATCTGCTTTATTTTGTACACACAGTTCTTCAGTATTTGGCTCTCTGTAATTGATAGAATCAGAAGTACTTTGTTTTTAGTATTTTTCTTCTTTTAGTTCATATTGGGAAAAATCTATCATATCCAAACATAGGATTTCTTGGTGATACAAAATTTTCTCTTAAAGCAAGTTTATTGTTAAGTTAAAAGTCATGTTTTTCTGGGTGGAAATATGAAGCAAATAAATTACATGGCAAGTAGATTACTCAGTGTATTCTCAGTACTCACCCTGATCTAACAGGGATAAACTTGTGATAATCAAAGTGTATAAAACCTGCTTCCAGAAATTGGGGTCTGGTGCTCTAAGCTTATGGAGAAGAGATGTAAAAAGAAATTTGGTGTAGTGGAAAGATCAGTATGGTTAAAGACTGGAGGATGAGTTGATGGAAGGTTTGTTTAGGAATTATGAATGATTGGATACAACTAGCTTCTAGGTTGTGTTTCTCATGGAGTAACTGGACATAGAAGCAGGAATAGGAGCACACAAGACCATCTATACTTAAGCAGGAAGATTGGACTTGAGTCTGACTATGAAGGGAAGCTATTGAGTAATTTTGAACAGGAAAACGATAAAATCAAACTTTGAGTGGATGCTAAAATTGAAGGTAAGACAGTGTTTAAGAGATTACTTGTTTTAATTCATCGAGAAATGTGGAAGGAACAAGTAAGGCAGTGACACAAAGCGGTGTATATGTGATAAATTGAGATTTCTTAGGGAAGTAGCTATGACAGGATATTATAATGATAAGTTGGCTAGAAATGTTGAGTGAGATTAGAGTCTAGTTTGACTGTCCACATTTTTTATTAGTGTAATCATGTGGCATGTAGAACAATTAACTGATAAATAGTATACAGAAAGAGAAAAGAATAAGGTTGTATTTTTTATAGAAAGGGGATAAATTTATTTTTTAACTTAGTGAATCTGAGGGACTGTGGAACATCTTGGTTAAGATCTGATTATCAATTGACGATGAAGATCTGGAAGTCAAAAGATTGGACCCAGCCTGGAAAGATTTGGAAGCCTTCAGCATTTGGAAATGTGGAAACCATTATCATATAAGATAATTTTAAACGGTTCATTAAAAAAAACTGGAAAATTTAGTAGTTAGGAACTTACCTTAATGTGTATAAAAAACGTAGCTTGTATATCAGACTTTTGATATCATGAACATATATCACTTAGGTGAGCTCAATGCAAAGGAAGTATTAAATACATGTAATATATGAGGATTGCAAAATCATGATGAAGCTATGCCAATGATGAAAGTTCAGAAAATGCTGTTTTAAGCCATGGGTGTGGTGGATAAGGTCACCCAGTCTCGAGACAGTGAGAGTGAGAAGAGAAGAGAATTGACATTTGGGTGGCAGGGAATGGAAAAGAAGAGCCCATGAAGGAGACTGAGGAAGAACAGCCGTACGAATAGGAGAACCAGAAGATGATCATTGGAGTCCCAATGAAGAGTTCTGAGAAGAAGGAAGTGGTCCACAGTGTCAAGTAAGTTGCAAGCTGAAAAGTGCTCTTTGGATTTAGTAATTAAGGTAGACCCTTTAGCTGGAAATAGCAAACAGTAGGTTTAAATTTTTAAAATCTGATATCAATATTAGTAATAATTGGTGCTTAAGGCATTTCATCCATACCCAGCACTCTTCAAAGCACTTTATGTGTATTAACTGAGTAATCAGGTAGGTAGTATTTTTTTTTAAATCATCCCTTGATATATGGGACAACTGAAGCACAGAGAAATTAAGAATCTTGCCCAAGATCAAAACTTCAGGAAATAGTGGAGTTAGGATTCAAACCCAGGCAGTCTGGCCCCAAAGTCCATGTTCTTAACCATTTTTGCCACATTGCCTCTGTAGAGATAAGAAAATAGAAAACTCTAAAAAATATACTTGGATCACAATTACAGTACAGTTGGTGCTGGGTTTGGTATCTTGAGATTGCCAGACTTCAATGGCCAGTGGCCATGTCATGGTGGCTCAGTCTGCCAGTTGTAATCAATGTCATGATGGAGATGAGTAGGTTCTAACAGTTCTTGGCTCTTTCTGTATTCTCACAAAAAAAGTGAGAAAAATGAATTTTTAAGTATACATATATATTCTTAGATAACATACATAACATGTCTTTGGTTTTATGTTTTACTTTTTTCTGGCTGTTTCACTTTTGGAGTAATTTGAATGCTGGACTGTTGTTCATGCAGAACAGGTGAACTTTCAGTTTGTAGAGACAGACTGTGGATAGTCATTGGTGACACTAGTGAAAGTAGTTTCCCTTGAATGGTAGGAATGGAAACCAAACTGTAGGAAATGGAAGTGAGAACAAGCGATTTGAATAGTAAGAGAAGTTCTTGATGAGATTGAATGGCTGTGGAAAGAGATGGGAAGATGAGAGCTGTAATGACTCTTACTTGTGTTTAGAGAGAAACTGATATGAGTGAAGCATTTAATATTAAATTTAGATGTTTAGATCTACACAATCGCAGGAATGGCCCTGATAAGGAAGAGCTTAATGTGGTGGGAAAAAATTTCTTGCTAGCTGAAGAGGTAAACTAAGGCTAAGGTGTTGTCTGGATGGGCCCATGATACCACTAGGATAATGTTGGATTTGGAGGAGAGAAAGGAACTAATTCCCAGTGTTCATAAACACGGCAGTAACCAAGAGGTAAACAAGTGATTATGACAAGTCTTGAGATAAGAGACTACAGAATTGGGACTGAGCATTCTCCATCTGTACAGTGGACATGCAAGGAATATGAGGATTAATGGGAATGGGACTTGTAAAGTACATGGTATAGTATGTGACACATAGTGCAAGTAGCTGGCTAGGAAGCTTGTTAGGATTCTTCACTTCTGAAATTGTTTTTAGACATTAAATTGGACATAATAAGAAGGACTGATTAAAAAAACTAGACTTATATCCAAGGACTTGCTTTTAGGAAAAGAGAAACGATCTATTCTAATGTTAATAGGCTAATGCGATGTGAAAAGGTGGAAGAAATGGTTAATGATGGTTTATGATGAAAAGGAAAACAAAGCAGTTACTTGGGCAAGAACTAAAAGTAATAAAATCCTGACTTTTCAGTGATACTTCATGTAGTTTTCCTCTAATAGCTATAAATACGTTCATTAATAAACTTCCTCTAGGGGAAAAAAGCCTAAACCGTCAAAATAAGCGTTTTTTAAAACGCCGTGTGTATGAAGTGAAGAGTTTTTCCCTTGTCGCAGTCTTACAGTGCTGACTGGCTTTTGTTGGGAGAGCATTAGAAGCACAGGGATGGTTAGAAGGACAGCAGGTCTGGCTGTGGCTGTGGGCACAGAGAATGAAACTCACCCTGGACGACTCTGGCCCTGCCCATGTGCCTGAGATAGAGAGAGAGACAGGGAAAGGAGAGTAGGAGCAGCTGGTAGGAAACAGTTTCTGAATGGATTTAGTTCAGGCCAGGAAGTTGAGATTGTAGCAGTTGTTGTATGATGAAATGGTATATTTTACATGATGCGGTGAAAGAAATTGGGGTAAAAGTGCAGCAGTGCACTTTCTTTTCTATGTTCAGCAAATATTTGAGCTTACATGTACTAGACATACAGGAAGAACCAGAGGCCCTTAGTTATCTCCCGACTAAAGGAGACATGTAAACTGATAAGTTTTAGAGTAGGGATGGTAAATATGCGAACCTAAGGAAATGAAGAAATAGATTGAATCATTTGGAAAGAACAGGAGAACAGGGACAAAATCTTCCAGAACCCAGTGTTCAATTGGAATTACTTCCTTGGGATATAGGCTCTGAATATTTTTCTAATATGCAGTAAATACCAGGAAAACTGCTACTTCTGTCACTTCAAAAAATTTAACTATTGATGCGTGTTGTTTTCTTAGAATTGGGCACGATGGATGATTTTATCGACGAAGATCTTAGCGTAGTAGATGATGCTTTGTTAGAAGATTGCCCCTCTGAGGATGAGTTTGTCTTTGCTCCTGAATATATGTCAGATGATTACGTCCGTGTGACTCAGCTTTACTATGATGGAGTGGTAAGTAGGTTTGTTAATTTTTGTTTCAGTTTTGTGTCTATGTGCTTTCTGATTTAAGGCAGTCTTAGTAAAGATATTTTGTGATAGAAAGTTCAGAAGGGTAAGTAAGCAGCACCTCAATAATAAGAATGTGGATGTCAGAAAACCAGTAATGGCAAGATAGTCCAAGGCCAGCCCAGGCATAAACATGAGACCTGATCCAAAAATAAACTAAGAACAAAAGGACTAGGGCATAGCTCAAGTGGTGGAGGAATCCCTGAGTTCATTCTCCTCCAAAATAACAACAACAAAAAACTTCGGGGGAGTGCTTTAGGAACATACTCATAGAAAATTAAGACTTACTGGCTAAAAGTGCATTCAAATTACATAAATACACATTGGTTTTACTTTAGTTCTGTTCATTTTTAGAGTAAAAAGCCTAGTGCTAATGACTCAGCTACTTGGGAGGCTGTGACTAGGAGGACAGCAGTTGTGTACAGGCAAAAAAATTCATGAAATTCCTCCCTTTCTCTTTTCTCTAGTTCCCCTCCTCCTCCTGCCTGCCTGCCTGCCTGCCTGCCTGCCTGCCCTCCCTCCCTCCCTCCCTCCCTCCCTCCCTCCATTCTTTCGTTCGTTCGTTCCTTCCTTCCTTCCTTTTTTGGTGCTGGTACAGGGATTAAACTCGACCTGAGCACTGTTCCTTAGCTTTTTTACTCAGGACTGGTACTCTGCCACTTGAGCTACAGCTCTACTTCCGATGTGAAAAGGTGGAAGAAATGGTTAATGATGGTTTATGATGAAAAGGAAAACAAAGCAGTTACTTGGGCAAGAACTAAAAGTAATAAAATCCTTGAGCTACAGCTCTACTTCCGGCTTTTTGGTGGTTAATTAGAGATGAGTCTTTTGGACTTTCTTGCTCAGGCTGGCTTTATTTTTTTTTTTAATTAATTTTATTTTATTTTATTTGAGAACATACTGTACAGAGGGGTTACAATTACATGGGCAGGATAATGCATACATATCTTACCAAGCATTGCAGCCTCCTCCTTTGTTTACCCTTCACCTCCCTTCCCAGCCTCTCCCCTCCCCCCCACCCAATCTTCCCCCCTTCCCCCTCCACACCGACATTGTAAAGCTCGTTTTTGACATGACATTTTGTACTTCTCATTGTTGCAACAGGTCCACCTGAATCCTTAAACGACTTGTTTGTCCCCATCTCCTCCACAAGTTATACTGACATCAAATATAGTGAAAGCGGGGGTTACACTGTGGGGGAGGGACAGACAAAGTAACAAAGAAATAATCTTATAAATGCGTTAGAAACACATGCATGAAAGAAAAAAAACATTAAAATACATATTTAAGGGATCGTTTTCCTAACATCACATTATCTGACCTTTTCCGCTTGACTCATACATATACTAGATATTGCATATAAGGGAAACCATGGGACCTATGTTTCTTTGGGCCTGGCTTACTTCACTTAATATAATTTTTTCCAAGCCTTTCCATTTCCTAACAAATGGGGAAATGTCATTCTTTCTGATGGAGGCATAGAATTCCATTGTGTATATATACCACATTTTCTTGATCCATTCATCTACTGAGGGTCATCTGGGTTGGTTCCATATCTTAGCTATGGTAAATAATAAAAATATGGAACGCTTCACGAATTTGCGTGTCATCCTTGCGCAGGGGCCATGCTAATCTCTGTATCGTTCCAATTTTAGTATATGTGCTGCCGAAGCGAGCACCTCAGGCTGGCTTTAAACCAAAATCATATCTCAGCCTTCTGAGTAGCTAGGATTTACAAGCATTAGTCACTGGTGCCCAGCATGAGACTCTTTAACTAAGAGCTGGGCCATATGGCATACACCTGTTAACCTTAGTATAACAGGTGTGTTCAAGGCCCAAGTATACCCAGGCAGGAAATGAAATCCTATCTCAAAAGTAACCAGCATAAGCTGGGTGCCGGTGGCTCACACCTGTAATCCTAGCTCCTGAGGAAGCTGAGATCTGATGATCTCAGTTCGGGCCCAGCCAGGGCAGAAAGGTCCTGGTGAGACTCTTATCTCAAAACTACTCAAAAAAGCTGGAAGTGGTGCTGTGGCTCAAGCGGTAGAACTCTAGCTTTAAGCACAAAGAGGCTCAGGGACAGTACCCAGGCCCAGAGTTCAAGCCCCAGGACCTGCAAAAAAAAAAAAGTAACCAGCATAAAAAGGTTGGAAATACAACTGAATGGTAGAGTATCTGCCTAGCAAATAGGAGAATTCAAACCCAAGTACAGTCCCTTTAACTCCCCAAAATCTGTTCTTATGCATGTTACCAGATACAAATCAAAATAATTTTCTTATTTTAGGGTTTGCAATATAAAGATTATGTCCGATGTGAGAGAAATGTGGGTGAGTACAGTTGTATTTTAATATTAATTTGTTGAAGGGTCATAAAGAAGGGTCCATACATTCAGCTATATCAATATGAAGATTTATATGTCTTTTAAAAATGTATTCTTAGCTGGTCACCAGTAGCTCACAACTATAATCCTGGGTACTCTGGAGGTTGCAATTCAAAGACCATAGCTTAAAGCCAGCTGAGGCAGAAAAATCCTCAAGACACTTATCTCCAATTAACTAGAAAAAAAGCAGAAGTGGGGTTGTGGCTCAGATGCCAACCATGGGTGACAAAATTCTCATTCAAGGACCTGAATTTAAACCTTAGCACTAGAATGTTAAAAAAGTATGCTTATTTGTTTTTTCTACTACAAACTGAAAACCTTTTTTGTTAAAATACTTTTAATCAACACTTAAATATCTTAATATCTTTTTTTTTTTTTTTTTGGTCAGCCGTGGGGCTTGAATTCTGGGCCTGGGCACTGTCCCTCAGCTCTTCAGCTCAAGGCGAGCACTCTACCACTTGAGCTACAGCGCCACTTCCGGTTTTCTGGTGGTTTATTAGAGATAGGAGTCTCAAGGTCTCTCCTGCCTGGGCTGGCTTTGAACCGTGATCCTCAGATCTCAGCCTCCTGAGTAGCTAGGATTACAGGCGTGAGCCACCAGCGCCGGGCTAAATATCTTAATATCTAACAGGTTATAGTATTGCATCCATTTATTTCTTGTCTTCTCATATCCATTTTAAGTTCCCTCATTCACAGTATTGATCCCTTAAAAAATGAAGTACAAATATTAATCTTGAACTTTTAATTTTAAGAATTTGACATCTGCAGTATATGGTGCAGCAAGCCAGTTTCTGTCCTACGAAGTTATTGCGATGCTATTAAAATACATATCTTCTGGCCACTTCTTTTCCAACTTCAGCAAAATTCTATATTATCAAGATTACATCCTTGTGTGGAGACCTTGTAAGTTCTATGTGTTACTCATTTTGTATGAACAGTGAATGCAGTTGTATGTACAGTGCTAAGGAATGCCAGGTGCAGTGGAAGGTTGTGTCTTACTCTTTCATGCTGTGCAGATTTGCTTTCTAAAATAGGGTATAAGAAGTAAATACTTGGGTTTGAATATGAGTGAATTTTCTTTAAAATTTTTATTCTTATAAAGGTTATTTACAGGGGCTGGGAAGGTGGCTCAGTGGTAGAGCGCTTGCCTTGCATGCCTGAGGCCCTAGGTTCAATTCCTCAGCACCACATACGCAAAAGGAAAAAGCCACAAGTGGCGCTGTGGCTCAAGTGGTAGAGCGCTAGCCTTGAGCTGAAGAGCTGAGGGACAGTGCCCAGGCCCAGAGTTCAGGCCCCACGACCGGACCCCCAAAAAAATAAAAAATAAAGGTTATTTACAGAGGAGTTACAGTAGCATAGCATGAATTTTCAATAGGATTAAATGGTAGACTTGAAGCTGACTCAGGGCAAATTAAAATGCTTGCATACTTATAGTATTGTTATACAAAACTGTTACATTAAGCAGTGGTACTGCAGAGGAAGAGAGAAGTACAGCATTTAAAGAAACAGTTTGGTTTTTGTTACCTAAAGAAAATGGGAACAATTTTTTCATATAGTTGGTTATATATTTAAGAATAAAATTCAATAAATTTGTCGAGGTAAGAACCTAACCTTTTAAAAAAATAACTTGTCTATAAACAGTTTGCAGGGTTCAGAGATAAGTTTGAAGAAATTACAACTTCTTGAGTTGATGGAAGATATTGTGGATTTGGCAAAGAAAGTTGCAGTAAGTAGTAAAGTGCAGGTCCTACACCTTCATTTAAAAATTAAAATATATGCTATGTGGCCCATAACCAATTAATAGCAGTTAGCTCATGTGTTTTTAGCTTTTCTGGTCCTGATCGTAATTGTCTGTTCTCATAAGTGTGTTGAGTAAAGATCAGGAGGATGGCTGGTTGGTTTTGATTAGTTCTGGTTGCAGTAACAGGTACCAGGACTGTTTCTTTTCATTAAAAGATAAAAAGCAGAAATTTTCACCAGGCTTTGGTGGCTCACGCCTATAATCCTAGCTACCTAGGGGGTTGAGATCTGAGAATTGCAGATTGAAGCCAGCCTGGGCAGAAAAGTCCCTGTGAGACTCTTGTCTACAATTAACTACTCAAAAGCCATCCTCTTTTTTTTCTCATTTTTTTTTTTATCCCCACCCCCAGAACTGAGGACCAAACTCAGGGCCTTGCACTTGTCAAGCAAGCACTCTTCCATTGAGCAACCTTCCAGAAATAATTTTTCTGACCCAATATGAAAAATAATGAAAGGTCTGGAGAGTGACTGCCGAGGAAGCATAAAACCTTCAAACCCCAGTATCAAGGAGGAAAAAAAAGTAACCTAAATCAAGAATTGACTGCCAGGTGCTGGTGGCTCATGCCTATAATTGTAGCTACTCAGGAGGCTGAGATTTGAGGATCGTGGTTCAAAGCCAGCCTGGGCAGGTTAGTCTAGGAGACTTATCTCCAGTTAACCTCCAGTTATGCAGTCACTCTCCAGACCTTTCATTATTTTTCATATTGGGTCAGAAAAAGAATTTCTGAAAGGTTGCTCAATGGAAGAGTGCTTGCTTGACAAGTGCAAGGCCCTGAGTTTGGTCCTCAGTTCTGGGGGTGGGGATAAAAAAGAAAAAAAGAGGATTTCTTGATTTACCTATGGCTGGCCTCAAACTGAAATCCTTTTCCTGCTTAGTTATGTTCACAGTTATATGCCACTATGCAACTTGTTTGCTGAGATAGGGTCTACTAACCATTTTCTTGGCTTTAGCCTCAGCATATGATTCTATCTTCACCTCCTGAGTATGGGACTGTAGGTGTTTGCCACCATGTCCAGAAACTTTAGGCTTGTTGAGGGGCAAATTGATCCTATAAGTGCTTGTGGCATGTAGACTACTGTATGCATACAGTTGTACAGTCACATGTCACTTAACAATGGATATACATCCTGAGGAATGCATCATTTAACAGTTTAGTTGTGTGGACATCATAGAGTATACTTAGACAAATGAAGGTGATATAGAACAAATCATTCCATTTGGCCCCTTGGTGAATCAAGGGACACATGAAACACACGGTGTATGAAACTGCTACTGGTATACGCCATGACATATTGTTTTTCATAAAATTGCTTTTCATAGAGTGTTCTCTAATAATTTTAAACATAGGTCAGATATAGGTTAGTAGTATATCACTTACTTACCATGATCAAGTATCATGTGCTGTATGTAATTATGTGCTATTAGTAAATTTTCCATCAGCATCAACTTGTGAGCCGCGCCTGTTTATGCTATGACATAACAACAGCTACAGTGTCACTAGCCAATAGGAATTTGTCAGTTCCATTATTAACCGTATGGGGTCACTGTTACATATTTGTGATTTGTTGTTAACTAAAATATTATTGTATATTAACCAGGCACTGGTGGTACATGCCTGTAAACCTAGCTACTCAGGAAGCTAAGATCTGAAGATTTCTGTTCAAAGCCAGCCCTGGCAGGAAAGTCTGTGAGACTCTTATCTCCAATTAATGCCAGTTAACCAGAAATGGAGCTGTGTCTCAAAGTGCTAGAGTGCTGGGCTTAATCAAAAGAGCTAAGGGAGCTGAGAAGGTGGCTCAGTGGTAGAGCGCTTGCCTTGCATGCTTGAGGCCCTGGGTTCGATTCCTCAGCACCACATAAGCAAAAAGAAAAAGCCGGAAGTGGCGCTGTGGCTCAAGTGGTAGAATGCTAGCCTTGAGCTGAAGAGCTGAGGGACAGCGCCCAGGTCCAGAGTTCAGGCCCCACAACCGAACCACAAAAAAAATAAATAAAATAAAATTAAAGACAACAATATTAAAAAAAAAAAAAAAAAAAGAGCTAAGGGAGCCAGGCACCGGTGGCTCATACCATAATCCTAGCTACTCAGGAGGCTGAGATCTGAGGATAACAGTTCAAAGCCAGCCCGGGCAGGAAAGTTCATGAGACTCTTATCTCTAATAAACCACCAGAAAACTGGAAGTGGCGCTGTGGCTCAATTAGTAGAGCCCTAGCCTTGAGCTGAAGAGATGAGGGACAGTGCCCAGGCACAGAGTTCAAGCCCCACAACAAAAGAGCCAAAGAAAAAAGCCAAAGGATAGTACTGAGGCCCTGTGTTCAAGCTCATGAGCAACACACATATATACACATGCACAATATATATATGTGTGTGTGTGTGTATACATACTTATTTATTTTGTACGATGCATGAGTATTTCTAAAATGTAAGATTTTTTTTCCCCATTAGAAAATTAAAGTAAAGTTCATGGAATAAAGGAAAACTGCTTTTTTGTTTTTCAGAATGATTCATTTCTTATTGAAGGCTTACTGAGAATCGGTTATAAAATAGAAAATGTAAGTATTAAATACATAGATATTGAACCCAGCATTAGCCATTAATTAAGCAGCAGTCATCACACTGTTCATTTTTTGATTATTCAGTTTACATACTCAACATTACACCAGTATTTGATAGTATTGATTTCTGTGTTTTGCTTATGCAATCTTAAAATCCACCATGTAACTTAAGAGCTTCTTTACATCTAATTTTTTCTTTAAGCTAGATTTTTTTAGTGGGCATACATTTCCCCAGATGAAATTATTATGTCTTCGATACATTATTACTAGGTAATCTCCAGAAGCAGTGATAAACCCAATTTGTAATGTTACTGGAGACATAAATATCTACATTTCTTTCAAACCTCATACCAACATTGACAGTTCAGCTACTAAATTTCTGAAGATATTTTAGATACTACAGGCATGAATAACATTTGTGCCAACTTAAAAAAATTTATATATATATATATATTTTTTTTTATTGTAAAGATACTATACAGAGGGGTTACAGTTACATGAGTAAGGTAATGAGTACATTTCCTATCAAGCATTGTTACCCCCTCCTTTGTTTTTCCCCTACCATCCCTTCCCTGTCTATCTCCCCAACTCAGCTCCTCCTTCCCCCACCCCAAATTGTTTTTTTTTTGTTTGTTTTTTGGGTCTGGTCATGGGGCCTGAACTCTGGGCCTGGGCGCTGTCCCTCAGCTCTTCAGCTTAAGGCTAGCACTCTACCACTTGAGCCACTGCACCACTTCTGGCTTTTTTTCTTTTTGCTTATGTGGTGCTGAGGAATCGAACCCAGGGCCTCATGCATGCAAGGCAAGCACTCTACCGCTGAGCCACCTTCCCAGCTCCCCCACCCCAAATTGTAAAGTTAGTTTTCAACATAGTGTCTTGTACATCTCATTGTTACAATGGGTCAACCTCTTATCCTTATTTCAGCATTTTGTTATAGTATAACCCCTGTTTTCATTGTATTTGATTTCGGTGCTCTGTATCTTGTATATACATTTTTCTAATTTAGGGAGGGGAAGGGAAATAATAAAATGCTGAAATAAGGATAAAGGTTGTGCCAACTTTTGACTCATTATGAGAATCATTGCACTGACGGTCCAGTTTGCTCAGCAAATGTTTTATCTGATTTTTTTATTTTCCACAGACTGAGTAAAGTATATATTGCCTAAGGCAAACCTTAATTTGTAACTTTAGCCTTAGGGATAAAGATGGAATCCCTAGTTTAGATAAGATCTGAATCCCAGTCTATTTTGTTTTGCATTCTCCCTCTGCCTAGGGCAGCCCCTTTCAAGTTGTGAGCCTCTTTCAAGTTGTGAAGCATCTTAAGCTCTGAGGGTGGCCTGACATCACTTGAATATGTAACATGTATGACCATGGTTTCTGTTAATTTGTATGTTGGGGTCCTAGTCTTCTCCACTGCTTGATGGAATAATGAAAATAGGGAGTTGTATAAGGTTTGTATTAAGTATCTGAAATGCTGTATAATGTAAATGTATAATGCCATGTACAAGTTTAGAATTAATACTCACATCTTTTGACACAGAAAATCTTGGCAATGGAGGAAGCTTTAAATTGGATAAAATATACTGGCGATGTAACCATTCTTCCCAAATTAGGATCAGTGGACAAATGTTGGCCTATGTTAAGTATTTTCTTTACTGAATGTAAGTGTTGTAACTTGTTCACTGGGTTTTTAAAGGTATTCAGGAAAATGGGATGTATAGTTATGTGGTCTCTGATTTGTCTTAAGAACATTTGAAAAATGTTTTTCTTCTGTTATGATGCTTCAGTAAGAGTTTTAACCTTGTCAGGTTTAGGGTTTTGTTTGTTCATTTTGTTGTTTGTGCTCCTTCTGAAGCTTGAACTTGGGGTCTTTTGCTCTCAAGGTTGGTGATCTGCCACTTGAGCTACACTTTACTTTTGGCTTTTTTTTTTTGGTCGGTCCTAGGGCTCGAACTCTGGGCCTGGGCGCTGTCCCTGCACTCTTCAGCTCAAGGTGAGCGCTCTACCGCTTGAGCCACAGCACCATGAAGAGTTGAAGTAACTCCATTTTGAGGCAGCAGCCATTCTGTCATTTATGTTAAATTATGAGTGACCTAGAGCAAACATAAATTCCAGGAACTGACCTGTCCGTGTTGAAGTTAACCAGAACGCACATAAATCCCAAGGACAGAGTTATCTGTGGCCACAAACTTCCTTTGCTTCACAGATACCTCCTACTGCCCTTTATTGCCCTAGCCCAAATGGTCTACTAACCCCCTGCCCTTTATTGTCGTGGCCGAAATGGTCTGATAACCCCCTATCACCCCTTATCGCCCTAGAATGTCCTGTTAACACATCTGGTTGCTGTAACTTTGTGGTTTTTGCCTTTATAAGCCCTGTGAAATTTCAGCTCAGGGCCTTCCTCCTAAGCTCTGCTGTGTCGGTGTGTAGGACGAGGCCCGAGCTGCAGCCCGCCTGAATAAAGCCTTGCTTTTGCATTTCGGAACGTCTGACTCTCGGTGGTCTTCTTGGTGAGGGTCCTGCGACGGGGGTACAACAACCATTTCTGGTTTTCTAGTGGTTTATTGGAGCTAAGAGTCTCACGGACTTTCCTGCCCGGGCTGGCATTGAACTGAGATCCTCAGATCTCAGCATCCTGAGTAGCTAGGATTACAGCCATGAGCCACCAGCGCTGGGCTTGGCTTTTTTTTTTTTTGGCTGGTTAATTGGAGAGAAGAATTTCTCAGATTTGTCTGCTCAGGATGGTTTTGAGTACCTAGGATGACTGGGGTGAGCCATTGGCGCCTAACGCTTGTAGTTAGGTTTATTCTCTATTTTCTGCTTTACTTTTGTGACATATTTAAAAAAAAGATGAAGATGGTTGGTAGTTATTCTATATAATAGAGAAAGAGCTGATAGCTATGGCTCATGTCTGTCATTCATAAAAGTAACAGACGCTAACATGATATTCATTTTCCTGATGAATCTACTATTCTTTGATGTATGAGGAGATTATCTTACATATTTCCTTACTTTGTGAAATTTTGTCCTTTAAAGCACTTGATTACTAGCAGTGTTTTTATAGCATGGTTTTAGGAATCTTGAAATAGGAACTTTTTGGCTTCTTATTAGGTATGATGGCCAGTAATTTACATCTTCACTGAAAAGATAGCAAATACTGTGTATTGACTTGAATTCTGGAGAGGAATTAAGTACAGATCTCTCTTGATAGGTTTATTAGATACTGTATGTGTCACAGAGGTTTTCTTCATTAGTTTGGAGGCCTCTAATTTTAGGTCAGATTTTGTTTTAGAAAGTAGAGAAGCAGTATCGTGCATTAGGCACCATTATGGGCTTATTTCTGATTCTCTCACATATTCCTCTCTCCTTTATAAAACTGCCCTAAAGGGTTGCTGCTATTATCTGTTGTAGAAGACTTTGAGAAGATAAGTGATTTTTCTGCAGTGTACAAAGTAACTAGTAGAATTTAGATAATAATTCAAATTTTTCTCTAATCTCAACGCCAGTGTTTTTTTCTCCTAGAACTTTGCTCTGTCTCTTAGTATTATTTATTTGTTCACCTTCCCAGATCCTTCTTTTGCAGTACTAGGGAATGAACTGAAGGCCTAAATGAACTGAGCCATTCCCTCCAATATATTTGTTGTGTTTTTGTAAGATTTGTTTCTTCTGATAGGGTCTTAAATTAACCTTCTGCATCTGGCTTCTAATGGAGATCCTCCTACCTCTACCTTCAGGGTAACTGGGATAACAGGCTTGTAGCACCATGCTTAGCTTGTTTTTGAGAAAGGATCTCCTTGGCTTTTGCCTAGGCTGATCTTGAACCATTATTCTCCTGACTCTGCTCCATAAGTTTTCTTGAATCTCAAATTTCAGGTATTCTGTTGGAGAGGAATACATATGGCTAGAGTTTTAACTATAATTGTGGTGGAATAATTTATATATATATATATATATGCTATACATATACAAAAGACTATATAAATATATATAAATAATATAAAGGCTGATGAGGCTTGATAACTTTGGACACTTTCAGTAACTTAATTATCTACTGTATTGTAATTAGTTTATTAAATTTTTATAAGATTACTATTTCCAATAACTTCTCATCATCAATATATTTCATTTATGAAGAGTCAAATATTTAAAAAGTTTAGCAAGGTGCCGTGACTCACACCTGTAATCGTAGCTACTCAGGAGGCTGAGATCTGAGGATCGCAGTTCAAAACCAGTCTGGGCAAAAAAGCTCATAAGACTCTTCAGAAACGAGAAATGGAGTTGTGGCTCAAAGTAGTAGAGCTCTAGCTTGAGCAAAAGAGCTCAGGAACAGTGCCCAAGCCCGGAGTTCAAGCCCTGTGACTAGTAAAGCCTATGACAGGAAAAAAATTTTTTTAACACTTTATTTGGTATACTAAAACACTGTAGAAGACAGTTTACCAGTGTTATGTAGTTTTATTGAACAGTGCACCTTGGTAATGTCTGTTGGATTATCTTGAGTAATTATGAGTCCTGATTGTAAAATGTTATGACAGCATTTTCTGAATTACTGAGTAATAATTAGTGCAATGATAAGAGCTGGTTCCTTATTGCTAGAAATAGAAACAGAGTAACTTAGAGCAAGCAATAAATCAGTTTTCTGTAGCATGCTAGAGTTGTGTATTTTCAAATATACATATGAAAGATTACAAGAAACATAGGCTTTTTGGAACTACAGTAATTTAATGAACTTTATGGACTTACTTAAGCTAAGAATTAGAGGAATGTCAATATAGTTTATTTTTATTAACAGATTCTCTCTTTATCTGTCTCTCCCTTTGTGTCTGTCTCTTCTAAAAATAAAACTAAGATAAGTATCATATAACTAGAGTTGTGACGGAGAATTGCAATTTGCTTGAAGAATTTAAAGGTCAAAGCTGTGTGGACTGTACAGAGGTGAGGACACATCTCTACCTGTAAATATGTTTGAAAGCATGGCAGTTAAAACTCTCCAATAGTCAGGAAGTTAATAACAAAATTGTTAATTGATAACAGTATGCAGAATTGATATAAAATTGTGTAATACAGAGGCTGGGAAGGTGGCTTAGTGGTAGAGCGCTTGCCTTGCATGCATGAGGCCCTGCGTTCCATTCCTCAGCACCACATAAATAGAAAGAGCCGTAAGTGGCACCGTGGCTCAAGTGGTAGAGTGCTAGCCTTGAGCTGAAGAGCTCAGGGACAGTGCCCAGGCCCAGAGTTTAGGCCCATGACAGACCAAAAAAAAAAAAAAAATTGTGTAATACATTTAAGGGAATTTTTAATAAACTTTGAGTTAGAAAATTTTAAAAGAAGAAATTATATACTGATGAGAATTTTCTAATATATTTTTGTTAATTTAAAGTTGAAAATTGATTTTTCTCAATTAAAGACTTTAGCTGAGATATTAACAACTTTATTTGTTATTTATGATAATGGGGTTCTGTACTTTCTAGATGAGCACTACTACCTGAGATAGGCTTCCAACTCCTTTTGCCTGGTCTAGCCTGCTGCTGTGATGCTCTGCTCCTCCTGCCTGTGCCTTCCCGTATCTAGGCTCATAGGTGTGCCCTACCACATTTGCTGCTTATTTGTTTATTTTTTATTTGTTTATTTTTTATTTTTTTGGGTCCGGTCGTAGGGCCTGAACTCTGGGCCTGGGCGCTGTCCCTCAGCTCTTCAGCTCAAGGCTAGTGCTCTACCACTTGAGCCACAGCGCCACTTCCGGCTTTTTTCTTATGTGGTGCTGAGGAATCGAACCCAGGGCCTGGAGCATGCAAGGCAAGTGCTCTTCCACTGAGCCACCTTCCCAGCCCCTTGCTACTTATTTGTTGAGATGAGATCATCATAATTTTTTTATCTAGACAGGCCTTGAGCTTTGTTTTCTGAGTCTTTTCTTCCTAGGCAGCTAGAATTAAAGGCATGAGCCATTGTGCCCAGCTTAACAGCCTTATTAAGATGTAATTCACATATCATATAGTTCATTCAATAATGATTTTAATTCACATTTTAAGGAATGATTTACAATATGCTCATTTATTTTATTGTGTGTGTGTGTGTGTGTATTGAACTTAGGGCCTCTCACTTGTGCTTGTTCACAGCTGGTGCTTTAATATTTGAGCTCTGTTTCCCATTCAGCATTTTACTGGTTGAGATAGAGTCTTGAAGTTTCTTTTCTGCCTGAGCTGGCTTGAACTGAATATCTTGGATAATAGGTGTGAGGCACTAGTGCCCGGTGAATGAGCATATTATTATTTTTGTTTGTTGCCACTACTGAGGCTTGAACTCAGAGGCCTATACTAGTTCACCTTATTTGGCTGATGCTTTACCCCTTGAGCTATGCCTCTAGCCCTTTAATTTTTATAAATTTGAGTGAAGTAAAAAGTTTTGGTTCTAGCTGGGCGCCAGTGGCTCACACCTGTAATCCTAGCTACTCGGGAGGCTGAGATCTGAGGATGACAGTTCAAAGCCAGCCCAGTCAGGAAAGTCTGTGAGACTCTTATCTCCAATAAAAACCACTAAAAACAAGAAGTGGTGCTGTGGCTCAAGCTGTAGAGTGCCTTGAGCTAAAGAGCGCAGGGACAGTGCCCAAGCCCAGATCAAGCCCCATGACTGACAAAAAAAAAAAAAAAAAGTTTTGGTTCTGTTCATAGCATCTTTTGTTGGTGTTCTTGCTAACCTGAAGTGTCTTTGTTCATAATTAATCAGCACTGCATATATGTTACTGATTTTTTTTTTCTTACTCTGCTAGGAATCAAACACAGGGCCTTAAAATCACTATCTATCTACCTGATTAATTTGTTACTTCAAATAATAAAATTTATTGAGTAATACCATGCTTGCTAACCAAAAGCCAAAATTCTACCTTGTATCTCATTTTTTGGCTTGCTGTAACTTACGGATATTTAAAAGTGGACCTCAGAAGAAGTGAGAAAAAGGAGAAAGTGGACTTGCCAAATAGTACCATCAAAAAACAATTATTTTAATGTCTATTTATAATATATCTTTTGTTTACACAGTAAATAGTACTTTATCAAGTAGAATTGAGTATTAGAGAAAACTTTGCTTCAATATATAGTTGCCTTTCAGTTTGGGGAGGATTGGTGATAGGCCACCCTCTGATACCAAAATCTGCAGATGCCCCCAACCCTCATATAAAATAATGTATACATGTTTCTGTATATTTCACACCATCTCTGTATTACTTATAGTGCCTAGTACGATACAAATGCTATCTATATAGTTGTTTTATTATATTGCTTAGAAAATAATGACAAATAACATATTCAATATATTCTCTTCCTAAATATTTTTTATCTGTGCTTCATTGAATCTGCAACCAGCACTCATAAATATAGAAGGCCAAAAAATAAATAAATATAGAAGGCCGACTGTATATGCCATAGTACTGGAGATTACATAAATACAGAATCTGCAGCCAGCACTCAAAATTACAGAAGGCTGACTGTATATGCTATAGTAGTGGAGATTACATTTTCATTTTTTCCATAGGTAATCTCCTAGGTTATTTCAAGGTAGAAACCCAGATTCATTTTTTTCTAGGTATTGGGTTCTTGATTAGCTTTGTAGCTAATTGATGCATTTTCTTTCACCTTGGTTTCTCAGCAAGGAGAACTGATGAGAATGAAAGGAAATGAAGAATTTTCCAACCAAAGATTTGATGTAGCTATTATCTATTACACCAGAGCCATTGAATATAGGTAAGAGAAAGAATAATGAAACCCTTTCTATGTGGCAGATAAAGTTAGGAGTTAGGCAAAACAAAAGTGGTATGAAGAATTGCAGGTATCTTCCAGTTTGCTATGCAGAACAGACTTTACAGATCTAGGTTGTAGTTGTATACAAGAGCCTGAATATATGAGCCCATCAAGTAGTATAACTCAAGCCAGTCAGGCAAAAGAGTAGATTTGGCTCTAACCTGCTCCTTTCCTTCAGGTTTTTAATGTAGGGCCATCTCTGATGTCTTCTTATTTTCCTGTCAATTAATCACTCTCAAAATTGTTAATTGGTCAAAGGCGTACATAAGATGCTGCCCAATGGGCTGGGAAGGTGGCTCAGTGGTAGAGCGCTTGCCTTGCATGCTCAAGGCCCTGGGTTCGATTCCTCAGTACCACATAAGCAAAAAGAAAAAAACCAGAAGTGGAGCTGTGGCTCAAGTAGTAGAGCGCTAGCCTTGAGCTGAAGAGCTGAGGGACAGCGCCCAGGCCCAGAGTTCAGGCCCCACAACCGGACCCCCAAAAAAGAAAAATCCTCAAGATGCTGCCCAGGAGCTGGGAAGGGGGCGGCTCAGTGGTAGGGTGCTTGCCTAGCATACATGAGGCCCTGGGTTTGATTCCTCAGTACCACATAAGCAGAAAAAGATGGAAGTGGCACCATGGCTCAAGTGTATAGCGCTAACCTTGAGCTGAAGAGCGTTCGGGCCCAGAGTTCTGGCCCCATGACCCACCAAAAAACAAAAAAAACATAAGATACTGCCCAAGGAAGTGACATTGTAGCTCAAGTGATAAGAGCACTCGCCTTGAGCAAAAGGAGCTCAGGGACAGCACCAAGGTCCAGAGTTCAAGCCCCAGGACTGGCAGTAAATAAGTCAAGCACTGGTGGCACATGCCTGTAATCTAGCTATTAAGGAGGCTGAGATCTGAGGATCATGGTTCAAAGCCAGCACGTGGAGAAAAGTCTCCATGACTTTTTCTTTTTTTTTTTTTTTGGTCATGGGGCCTGAGCTCTATGCCTAGGTGCTGTCCTTCAGCTCTTCAGCTCAAGGCTAGCACTTTACACTTGAACCATAGCACCACTGTTTATGTGGTGCTGAGGAATGGAACCCAGGGCCTCATGCATGCAAGGCAAGCACTCTACCACTGAGCCACCTTCCCAGCCCTCCGTGAGACTCTTATCTCCAATTAACCACTCAAAAACTGGAAGTGGTGATGTGGCTCAAGTGGTAGAATGCTAGTCAAGCACCAAAAGGTTTAGAGACAGTGCTCAGGCCCTGCATTCAAGCCCCATCGATTAAAAAAAAAAAAAAAAAAAGTTGCTGCCCATGCTGGTTTTACTTTCTTTGAGGGACCTTTTGTAAGAAAATAGTTGTAATTGTGAGAGAATGCATGTGCTCTTTCTCTCTCTCCCTTGTCACTCAACTTTTAGAAGTTTGTAGTTTTCCTTCAGGTATATAACAGAAGATTACACACACATATTTCTAATATATATTTAACATATATATATAATTCGCATGTATGCCTGTATATACCTGTTTCTACTGACAATTGCAGCTTTGTAGGATGCTCTATGCACCTGCTTTTCTACTTTATTTCCACTGGGATAAATGAATTCAGTTGCTGCTTCTCTGTTCAGCTGAGGAAGACTCAGAAAAAAATCCATTCGGAACAAAACTGGAAGCTGCAAAGTTACCATTGCAGTTTATAGGCTTACTTTGCCTGGGTTCTTTGTCAAGGTTGGATGTCTGATTTCTATAAGTAATTACAATTTCAGCCTACACTGTAGCTTTGAAATAGCACATCTCATCTAATCCTTCCAATAACCCGAAGTTACAATAAGAATTATTCATGAGAGCAGTAGTTTGAACAAGGTTACTGAGGTAGTGAAGGCCCAGAAGCAGCTCAGAATCCTATGTACTTTCTGTTCTGCCACATAGATGTAAAGTTTTTAAAGTTTTTTAGTCCTTATGTTTTCAGTATAATTTTTGTTTGTTTGATGTGTAATGTGTGCTTTGCTGACTAAGTATTTACTTCTATTTTAAGACCTGAGTGCTACGTTCTTTATGGTAACCGAGCTCTTTGTTTTCTTCGTACTGGACAGCTTAGGTAAGTTTAATAATGTGTCCCAGTTACTGAATTGTTAGGCTAAATGCCCATTTGGGGGAAACATTGCTATTTTAAAGGTGTCCAACACACCCCCGCCATAGCTCTTTATCAGAAATAGTAAGGGGTTAAAAAGAACACCATAGACTTGGTGCATAATTGCGACACAGCAGCTGTGGAGTGAAAGCATATGGGTGCATTATTTCACAGGTTTATTTAAATCCCTTGGCACCCGCCATCTCCAGATTTTACTTGAGGACCAACTAGCAAGTAGTGATGCCAGCATTTAAACGCAGATGTATGATGTTAATATCCTATAGCATGTTAGCTCCTTTTGCTTATTAAATCTGTAGAGTTTTGGCATAAGCATTTTTGCTATATTTGTTATCTGTTTGTCTTGGTATGAAAATTTAAAATGTGCTTTATAAGTGAGAACAAGTACAGAAATATAATGGCATTACTCTTAGAATGGAATCATAATTAATTCTTAGTTCCATATGTTGAATTAAAACTGAGCTTTTACTTACCAGTTGAAAAAGAATTAGATAGACACTATCATGATTTTAGTCCCCCTTAGTTAAACTAATCTATCTTTTCTTTTCTTTCTTTCTTTCTCTCTCTCTCTTTCTCTTTCTTTCCTTCTCTGTCTCTCTCTCTCTCTCTTTCTTTTTCTTTCCCTCCCTTCCTCCCTCTCTCCCTGTCTTTGTCTGTCTGTCTGTCTGTCTGTCTCTTTCTCTCTCTCTCTCTCATGTCAGTCATAGGACTTGAACTCAGAATCTGGGTGCACTGTCCCTTGAGCTTTTGTGCTCAAGGCTTAGTGCTCTACCACTTGATCCACAGTTCCACTTCAGCTCTTTGGTGATTAATTGGAGATGACTCTCATGAATTTTCCTGCCCGGGTTGGACTTGAACCATGATACTCAGATCTTAGCCTCCTGAGTTAGGATTACAAGTGTAAGCCATTGACACCCGGCCTTTGTTAAAAACTAGGACATAAATTATAAATAGGAATATCTAGCAGTATAGACTATTGTATTTCATTATGTCCTGCTTTTCTGTTAGAAGGGCTTAAGGTGAACTAATAGTACATCCACTGTAGAAAAATATTCAGAGCCTTACAAGTAGAAAGCCTAGTTAAATCTAGGATCCTGAGAGCAAGTACTCATTGTTCACAAAGAAGACACTAGCGGCTTAGTTGGAGAAATTTCTCATTTATTTATGCAAATACTATACAGTGTGAAGGGATTCATTATGGTATTTCCACTCATGGATATAATATAATTTTATCACATTCACCCCTCTATTACTCTTGCTTATACATCTTTCCGTTCCCCTTTTTAGAAAAAAAAACTTGCAATTTTAAGAAATAGATTTGATATATGCATGACCTTTTCATATTTGCATCTGAAATAAACTTTTATGCCTTGCTAGTAATGTTAATTGAATGATAAAGTAGAAAAAAATCTTAGCACTATCACTGTTCACAAGAAGAAGATGCTTTTTTTCTTTTGGAAATGCAGTTTGTAGTTTTACAAATGGGTTTTTTGGTGAAGTCATGACAGCTGGGAGCCTGATAATCAGTTGTTTTTCAGTAGAAGCATTTCATATTGGGATGTGGGAGTGGGGAAGATAGTATGTTCTTAGAATGTAGCTTAAAAAATAACACTTACTGTGTTTTTCTTTTATTATAAACAGAACACATTCTCATGGTAGAAAATTTGGAAAATACAAGAGTTTAAAAAGAAGAAAATAAAAATCACCAGTAATCCATCCACCTTGGAGAATACTGCTGTATTAACATTATGCAGCTTTTAGGTGGCTTAAACCATGGATAATCTGAGGCTTTCTAGACTAGAGGATTGGATGGGTTTAACACAGTCTTTCATCAATACCACTGTTCTCAACTGGTTCTGACAAAGAATGAGCTGCAAATATCTAGGTTATTGCCTATGGCGAGGTCCAGAGTTGCAGATATTCTATGCTGTATGAAGGTGAATCTGTGTGCTTTCAAGAGCAGATGGATAGGTTTACAACTTGGTTAGCCTCTTGGGTAAATTGAGGTGCTTGTCTGAAACCTTTGTGGGAAGAAGGTTATCCTCTAGCTCTCAGAGCTAAGAGCAGACCGTAGTAATTTGTTTTCCTTAGTACTTATTGCTAGATACATGAGGAGATCCTCCTAAAACCCTTCTGAGAGAGGAGGTAAATGAAGGTGGAAACACTGAGGCCTGCTAGCTTGGCGAGGTAAAAGCCAAGAGCAGGGTAGGATTTATCCTTGTACCTCCTTGATGTCCTAGCATGTCGTTGAACACTGCTTCCCCTGCGGGCAGGTTAGCCCCACTTAAGAGCCCATTGTTCCTTATTAGGCAAAGACCAATATGAGTTGGATGCCTCCTTGGTACCTGAAGGTTTGATACATGGGTCTTGCTCAAGTTTCCTATCTTACACATTGTCCCTATGATTGGCACAGCAGTATTGGGAAAATGTTTTCAGAATCTACCTTTTGATGAAGTTAGTAAATGATGTAACTTAGGAATGTTGTCAGCGGTAAGATGTGCCATCAATACAGGAGGACATATGCCCTAAAGAATGGTTTATAGGTAAATTGCAAGGATTGAGATGTTTAGAAACTCAAAGTGATGCTAGATCTGCCATGGGAATCTGGCTGAGCAGCTGCAGGGTTAGCTAGGAACAAAGCATCTGCCCTCCACCCAATTCAGGTAAGGATGCCACTCCTCAGTTCCACAGGGCCAGACTTCTTATTTGCTGTTGTGAAAGCAAGAATTTAAAGGAACTGCAATGGAATATTTTAAATATTTTAGATTAATTCCAGAAAAAGGGGAATATACTGATTCAAGCCAAGAATGCTAAAATTATGCTGAAATAATTGAATCTTAAAAATTTAGAAAGTACAAGTTGAAATATTGAAAACCTCCAATTGGAAAAATAATTTTGGCAATAATCTCTTAAAGGGTAAAATAGTGCTATACCTTACAACATGGCTGATGCTTTTCTAAGTACTTTCTACATATTTACTTGTAAAACCCTCACAGCTGTGAGAGGTTGATACTGAGATAGAGGCCAAGCATATTAGGTAGATGTGCTGAAGCCAAACTTTGTAGTTAAGCCTAGATGCAGAGTCTCTGTGGTTAGTTGCTATGCTAAGCTGACAATAAAATAAAGGGGAAATGTGTTTAAACATAAACAAGTGATCCAATAGTCAAACATTTACTAGAACCTGATTATCCTTACATGACATGCAGATTAAAAACTATAAGTTTCTCTTTCATACCCATCAGATTGGCAAAAACTTGTAAAAACCTTGTAATACCAAGTGTTTGAGAGGATGTGGAACAAAGGAAACTTTCATACTCGTCTGGAGAAAGTATAAATTGGTACGGTCACTTTGGAGAGCAATCTGACAAGGTGAAGATGTGCAGCCCACTTCTAGGGTAATCGCTTCCAAACCCAAATGTGTACCCAAGGAGACCACGTGCAAGGCTTCATATAGCATTGTCTATAAGAGTACAGATGTGGAAGCAACCTAAATATCCATCACTAAGAGAATGGATAAGTTATGGTATATTCATACAATGGAATTCTAAACAGTCATTAAAATGAATGTAATGTTGAGTGAAAAAAAAAAGTTGCAGAATGATTTATACAGCATGCTGCCATTTATATAATGTCCAAAACATGCAAAAACAAATGTGCATATCTATAATATAGAGTATGTATTGAAAGTGTTTAAAAATGCATGGGCATGTTAAAAACCAGAGGAATGGCTATCTCTGAGAAGGAGGGAAAAGGATTTGGAGGGAGGGAGGGGTATGCACAGTGATTTCAACTGTAACCTGGAAAAAAAAAGAAAGAGCTGAAGTAAATATGGCAAAATGTGGATTTCTTGCTGAGTTGGTTCACAAATAGTACGTAAGTGTTCATTGTGTTAATGTCATTCTCTTTTATGTATACTTGAAATGTGGGGAAAAAAGTGAAACCAAGCGTGACTTAAAATGCACACGAAGGTAAAAATAACCCAAGACTGTGATCATGAAACATCAAGGGTAAAATAAGTAAAAATGAAAAGGTTAAAAAACAAAACAAAACATGTATTTTAAGTCTAGTGGCAAGGAGAAAAAGCTTGAGATTAGTGAAGAGTGAGTTGGAAAATATGCTTCATTCATAAGTGGTTGAAGATGGTTGTGGTAGTGATTTTAATCTAAAATAACTGTAAATCTGATCACCTGTGTGTGTGTGAGTGTGCGTGTGCATGCGTGCACGCGCTTGCACACACATGCTGGTCCTAAGGCTTAAACTCGGGGCTTGGGACTGCCCTGAGCAATTTTGTTCAAGGCTAGCATTCTACCACTTGAGGCACAGCTCTACTTCTAGCTTTTTGGTAGTTAATTGGTGATAAAAATTTCATAGAGTTTGCTACCTAGGCAGACTTTGAACAATGATCTTCAGCCTCCTGAGTAGTTAGGGTTACAGCCACCCACCCGGCCAGAAACCACCTTTGATTTGGATATAGGTGAGTCTAAGAGCCAATCGAAATGTCTCTAGGTTATAGATGTGCTTGAAGATGGGTTTGAGGGGGACGGTAGGTACAGACATGGGACATCTCTACTGCCTTCTGTCCCTCTGGCCACCACAGCTTATCTCCTTTGGAGCCTTCAAGGTTAAGAATGTGTGCCATGAAGAATCCCAGGTCTCCTCACTTTGATGAGAGTCTGGTCTTCTAGAAGTGTACTTTTTATAGTTTTGTTACCTATAGGATCTTAGTCGAGTGGTAATTGTAATTAAAATATCCAGAAAATTTCAGCTCAGGGGAGAATCCAGAAAAGGGAGTTGGACATATCTCTACCTGAGGTACTTAGAATAGTTGATGTGGTATTTATAGCAGGCATTGCTTACTTACTGTTTAATTTAGTGTTATCTGAATGGTGCACATGTAGAAAATTCTAATTCTGGAGTATAATGACCATTGTAAGGGGAAATGTAATTGG